CCGACCCCGTAGCCCAGAATGAGAGGCTCCTCATTGGTGGGACCTCTTCCTGGTGAGGAAGGGGTATAGCGGTTACTGTCACTTGCTGTATAATTGCAGTTGCAGTAGGTGTTATAAAAGCAAATATATGTTTTTTTTTATTAATTTGTTTTGAATTCTTTTTTCCTACATTAAACAATACTCTAAAAGTAGGGGGCATTTTTACCCCATTGTTTACCCAGAAAGGGAGAAACGTTATGGAATATGATCTGTGCTGCAGAACTACTGTAATAGAACGCACAACTGCATGTGCTACATTATGTGTACACTGTGCTGTACGCGTGGTCCTTTAATGGGAACACATAGGCATTTATATGACCCTGTGTCATGCAGATGGCCCTGCCCAGCATTGCGATTGGCTAGATATAGAGTCTGCTATTTATCTGATGCTGAAATATTAGGGTTTCTAATTGTAATAGTACAGTTTCGACTAAACACCAGAAGACGAGGTCGCACAGGTTTTAGGGATTCACAAGACACATTTGGATTTTAGTAAACAAAATATGGAATAGAGAAATATTGATAGCAATGCTTAATACTGATTTGGTTTCTGGTGGGAGATAGCAGCATTAGGGCTGGGTAGGCGTTTAAATATAGACAATGACAGTTCTTGGTCATGTGAACGCAATATTGCTCGCTAGCTGGCTCCATCTTCTATTTGGACCATAAGATTTTATACCTCCATGAAGTTTAGAATTTTTCCAAAGAAACCAAACTTTCTGCATTCCAGAGGTTGATCTCCTTTGAAGAAACAGAGCTTTTAAAGAAGAAATAAAAACAAGCAAAAAACAGTGCTCTAGGAGGGGGACCCAAATCTGGCACTCCACTCAGCCTATGGCTCTGGGCAATCTTAATTCAGCTCTGTTTGGGCACCCAGACCACTTAAACGCAATGACATATCTCTGTCAATTTAAACCTGCAACTGAAAACACAGCCATTCTACAGGAAAGTCAATGTTTACATTGCGGGGTTACAATGCCTCTAGTGGTCATCTTACTAACTTCCACTAGAGGGACTTCTGCCAAAATAGCTATTAATCTAAAGAACTCAAGAGTCATTTTCAGGCTTCACTTCAGCAGCCATTATTTATTTAGTTGAAGGGATTGTGCATTCCCAAATCACATTATATCAATATACAACAGCAATGTCCACATCCATCTGTTGTTTCAGATATTTTTAAGGAAAAAGAAGAACTCTAGGCAAATATATGTGAAATATTGGTTTTTAGTGAATCTATCATGGTAAAGTTACTGTGACACGGATAATTTAAATAATCTTTTCAGAGACAATTAGATCGTATTGAGAACTTAAGAAGTTTACACTGAAAATGTATCCCATGGACATATTCAGAATATATATGAATTTTGTAATGGCATAAAATATCAATAAATAATTATTAAAAAAGGAATTTCTCGGGGGTAGACCCTAGCTTCAATGCCGAGCAGACATGTTTTGCTTAAGCGCCTAAGAGTTAACCTGATTTTGGGGAGATATCCCTGGTTGATAAGCAGCCCCTTGCACAAAAGGGCGCTATTTGAGTCGGAGGTTCTCTGACAATCACACGGAAACTTGAATCATGACTATACTCCACCGGAGCTCAGAACTGCTCGTCTGCGGCCTACAAGGAACAGAGCTGGGGAGAGGTAGCCAATCTCCTTGCTCCTCAGATCCTACATCGATTCTGCTGCACTCCTAACCCCCCACCCCTCTGGCCCAGCGGGGTTTATCCTGGTCCCCACGCTCAATGTCAATTTGGCGATACCTCGCTCCTGCTCAGTATTTAAAATGGCGACTGCCCCTTTTGCAGACATGTAGGGCCTATACCTACCCCAAGGGCCTCACCACTGCACCATTAAATTTACCTTGCTATGCATTGATGAAATATTTCAACACTTCTGGTTGAAGATAAGGGAGCGTGAGAAGGCTGCCCTGGCTGAGAGACGGAAAGTATTAGAGTGAAACCTGTTGTCGGAGCAGTGGGGTTTCCTCTGGGCGAAATCCCCACGTAAGCACCCAACTGCACTGCTGTCCGCCTGCCCAGGTCGAGAGCCTCACGAGGCATTGCCTCCAAGCATCCACCACAGAAGTGGAGGATCGCCCGCCGAAAACGGCGCATACCACCAAGACCCTCTGTTTACCCAGGAAGGGGAAAGGACTTGGTCCCTGACAGTGTACCAGCCTGTGGACTAAGGATGCTGATCCTCACACATGCTTGGAGCTGGAGGAGAGCCCTGATCTGCTGTGATTCTATGGTTCAATGCCTGAACTTTTCAAGCCACGCTTCTCTCCTGCCGTTGGTGGGGATCGGCTGATCCTGACTCTAGGGCCACAGCCTGATATCTACTCCGGTGATAGTGGCTGTTGCTTACGAGTTTACTTTTATTTAAACCTTTATTTCTAATGTTCGCGCTTCTATATAGATATATTTAATCCTGTCGTACATATTTTACAGTGCTGAGTATTCTTGCATCAACGTTAGAGTACGCCGACGTCCAGTGGCCTTTTTGGCTACCTGACACTCACATGTCTGATAATGCTTTGCTGATTACCTTAGCTATTATACTGTGGTATAGCTTAGGCACTCTTTGTCATGGCACAAGTCCCTGTAGCTACCCAAATATCTAATTAGACGTGTTTGATTTGCTTGATTTTTATTTTTGTTATTTTTTTTGTTAGCACATAAAAGTGTGGTAATATTGGCATTTTATGCTGATTCTGCAGCCTTACTATCGTTTTTTTCCTTTCCACAATGTCCAAGCATGCTTTGAATGTCTATCTATGTGCACAACCAAAATAAAGATTGTAAAAAAAAAAAAAGGATTTGCTCATTGAATATCGAATGCATTTTCTTGGTCATAAAATGATTGGGTAAAGATTGCATGATTATAGTGCTATCATTGTTTATTTAAACCAGTTGTCATCTTATGATAAAGATCCCCATTTACCTCACGTTGCAATCTGTATCTCGCCAGGCATTATTTTGTATTCCACGTTGTGTTACTACTTAACGGATAAATCTGACTGCCATTTTGGAGTCGAGAAAAGATATATGTTTTCCTATCAATTGTCAAAATGTTAAATTCTATCAAATTAAGATTTTTATTTTCTTTTGGATGCACGGTAGAGACAGAGTTGTATGAAAGCCTAAACTTAATGAACTTAAATCTTTCTTAGGCTATTTTACTATGCAACTGTGTTGAAAACCCCTGATTGAAATCAGGAGGGATGGAGAGAGGACGGAAGGAAGGTGCAATCCCACGCCAAGGTCTCCCTACAACTCGATCGTCCTGGACGGCTGGCCGACGGAGGACTTGGGTGCCAAGTCGTCATTGGTCGCCTGTCAGTAACATGCTATGTGTTCTGCGCACAGACAACAAATATTCACGGAATTATTAGCCAACCAATGTAGCTGATGGAGGTAGAGTTACAACTCCGGCAAAGCTGGGCTTGACGCTGAAGTAGTCATGGTACCTGGAGTAAACTTTTAACTAAAAATAACCATTGCTTCCACTTACTTAACCCTGGATTTACTGCAAAGTATAAAAGCTCAAGGTTTACTCGCAAAACTGTGAATTTCATATTTTAAATAAAAGTAACCAAATCGTCGATTTTATGTTTTTGGATAAAATCTTCAGATGATTACAATCTGTTAGAAAAAAAACATTTTCAAATGATTTATCTACAGAACGTCCCATAGACTTTACTGGTGACTTCTGTAAGTAATTTAAAAGTAACAAATTGTGATCATTTGAAAAGCTTATCCAAAATATTAAATCATAGCTGTGGTGGAACCTACACCCATTCATACTTTCCCCAGTTATTTCGCATGTTTCATCCTTTTTCCGTTCGGGAGACTTCATACGAATAGAACTCTTTCGTCTCCTGAACGAGGACCACCCTTGTAGTCCATTAGAATGTTGACACTGACCACTTAAAGGGATCCTATAGAGCCAGGTAAAACAAAGCCGTTTTCCTGGCACTATAGGGTTAATAGGCCCCCCGTCCCGTGGGGATAAAGGGGTTGAAACCCCTTCAGCCACTTACCTGAATCCAGCGCGGATGTCCCTCGGCGCCGGGTCAGGTTCTGCCCACGCTCCTCCCCCGCCGACGTTAGCCGGAGGGGGAGACCTAACGCGCGTGCATTAGTTCTCCCCATAGGAAAGCATTACTCAATGCTTTCCTATGGTCAAAATCTGATGCTGGAGGTCCATGAGGATGTCCAGCATCAGAAAACGGACCAGAGGTCCGTTAGATTTCCGGAAGCATGGTGTTCGCACAGGTACCTCACAAACAGAGACCGGCCAGGGCACCTATTTCCCTGGAGCTGTTTTGGGCTAGCGCCTCGTGTCTGGTTGGTCAAAACTTTACCTCGATGGCCTTCCCATTTCACCAAACCGATGTGAGTGATTTTGGGATATGTTATACACTCAGATGAGGGCTATCGGGGAATGTACTTTTTGTGGGGTTCCTGTGTGGGGGCACTTTTAAGGTACAGTATATTTTGTATTGTAAACCCCTTGTAGGGGACTGGGCATAAAAGCCGTGTGTGGCCAAATAAATCTCAGTTGAGTCCCTGGGCTATGTTTCGTCTTGTTACTAGGGGAATGGGGATTTACTTGTGTTGATGGTTCCAGAGTGGCTGAGTGAAGGTATTAGCGGAGGTAACCAGTCGGATTACCTGTGGTCAGCTACAATGGCCTAGGATAGAATTAATTTTTCCAAGTTTCCAGGTTTCTTAGCTGATGCAGTTTATTTATAAAGAATCCACAAATTCTTGTTTAGCGAATAACCCCCCCTGTGTTTTCATGATAGTTTGATTTGTATTCTTGTTTAAGTATAATTGCTATGAGGAAAAAACAATGAAATAGAAACAGAAATTTTAAATACAACTTCCTCATTCCTTTTGTAAAGAGAGTATGTCATATATGAACAGGGGTTTGACTTTGAGTACAAATGCAGACGAGTAAGGCGAGATGCAAGACAGCATTATCAAGATGTCCGTATGACATGTTATGGTATATTAGGTATGCGACTTTAGATATAGATAATTTCTGTGAATAATTATTTAAGATTTCTGCAATCTTCTATAATATCAATGATCAATTTCTAAAAGGTGGCTTTGAAATCCGCAGAACTATACAAACTGAGCTCAAGTGACAGTGGTCGATAGTGTGTGTAACCTGCAATACCAGGATACTGCGTGTAATGCAGGATAATGTGTGTAACTCGCGATACTAGAATATTGTGTATAATGCAGGATAATGTGTGTAATGTGCAATACTAGAATACTGTGTATAATGCAGGATAATGTGTGTAATGTGCAATACTAGAATACCGTGTACAATGCAGGATAATGTGTGTAATATGCGATACTAGGATACTGTGTTTAATACAGGATAATGTGTGTAACTCGCGATACTAGAATACTGTGTATAATGCAGGATAATGTGTGTAATGTGCAATACTAGAATACTGTGTACAATGCAGGATAATGTGTGTAATATGCGATACTAGGATACTGTGTATAATGCAGGATAATGTGTATAACATGTGAAACTAGGGTACTGTGTATAATGCAGATTATGTGCGTAATATGCGATACTGGGATACTGTGTATAATGCAGGATAATGTGTGTAATGTGCAATACTAGAATACTGTGTACAATGCAGGATAATGTGTGTAATATGCGATACTAGGATACTGTGTATAATGCAGGATAATGTGTGTAATGTGCAATACTAGGATACTGTGTAAAATGCAGGATACTGTGTACAACGTGTGATACTAGTATACTGTGTATAATGCAGAATAATGTGTGTAATATGCAATACTAGGATACTGTGTATAATGCAGGATAACGTGTGTAACATGCAATACTAGTATACTGTGTATAATGCAGGATACTGTGTCTAATATGCAATACTAGAATACTGTGTATAATGCAGGATAATGTGTATAATATGCGATACTAGGATACTGTGTATAATGCATGATACTGTGTGTAACTCGCGATACTAAGAAACTGTGTATAATGCAGGATAATGTGTGTAATGTGTGATACTAGGATACAGTGTATAATACAGGATAATGTGTGTAACTCGCAATACTAGGATACTGTGTATAATGTAGGATAATGTGTGTAATGTGCGATACTAGAATACTGTGTATAATGCAGGATACTGTGTGTTACTCGCGATACTAGGATACTGTGTATAATGCAGGATAATGTGTGTTACTCGCGATACTAGGATACTGTGTATAATGCAGGATAATGTGTGTAAATTGCAATACTAGGATACTGTGTATAATGCAGGATAATGTGCGTAACGAGCGATACTAGGATACTCTATATAATGAAGGATAATGTGTGATACTAGGATACTGTGTATAATGCAGGATAATGTGTGTAATGTGTGATACTAGGATACAGTGTATAATGCAGGATAATGTGCGTAACGCGCGATACTAGGATACTGTGTATAATGCAGGATAATGTGTGTAATATGTGATACTTGGATACTGTGTATAATGCAGGATACTGTGTGTAATATGTGGTACTAGGATACTGTGTATAATGCAGGATACTGTGTGTAATGTGCAAAACTAGGATACTGTGTATAATGCACGATAATGTGTAATATGTGATACTAGGATAATGTGTATAATGCAGGATAATGTGTGTAACGTGCAATACTAGGATACTGTGTATAATGCAGGATAATGTGTTTAACGTGCGATACTAAGATACTGTGTATAATGCAGGATAATGTGTGTAGTGCATGATTCTAGAATACTGTGTATAATGCAGGATAATGTGTGTAATGTGCAAAACTAGGATACTGTGTATAATGCAGGATAATGTGTGTAATGTGCGATACTAGGATACTGTGTGTAATGCAGGATACTGTGTGTAATGTGCAAAACTAGGATACTGTGTATAATGCAGGATAATGTGTGTTACCCGCGATACTAGGATACTGTGTGCAATGCAGGATAATGTGTATAACGCGCGAAACTAGGATACTGTGTATAATGCAGGATAATGTGCGTAACGAGCGATACTAGGATACTGTGTATAATGCAGGATAATGTGCGTAACGAGCGAAACTAGGATACTGTGTATAATGCAGGATAATGTGCGTAACGAGCGATACTAGGATACTCTATATAATGAAGGATAATGTGTGATACTAGGATACTGTGTATAATACAGCATACTGTGTATAATGCAGGATAATGTGCGTAACGAGTGATACTAGGATACTCTATATAATGAAGGATAATGTGTGATACTAGGATACTGTGTATAATACAGGATACTGTGTATAATGCAGGATAATGTGTGTAATGTGTGATACTAGGATACTGTGTATAATACAGGATACTGTGTATAATGCAGGATAATGTGTGTAATGTGTGATACTAGGATACTGTGTATAATACAGGATACTGTGTATAATGCAGGATAATGTGTGTAATGTGTGATACTAGGATACTGTGTATAATACAGGATACTGTGTATAATGCAGGATAATGTGTGTAATGTGTGATACTAGGATACAGTTTATATTGGAGGATAATGTGTGTAACGCGCGATACTAGGATACTGTGTATAATGCAGGATAATGTGTGTAAGTAGCAATACTAGGATACTGGGTATAATGCAGGATAATGTGTGTAAGTAGCAATACTAGGATACTGGGTATAATGCAGGATACTGTGTTTAATACGCGATACTAGGATACTGTGTATAATGCAGGATAATGTGTGTAATGTGTGATACTAGGATACTGTGTATAATGCAGGATAATGTGTGATACTAGGATACTGTGTTTAATACGCAATACTAGGATACTGTGTATAATGCAGGATAATGTGTGTAATGTGTGATACTAGGATACTGTGTATAATGCAGGATACTGTGTGTAATGTGCAATACTAGGATACTGTGTATAATGCAGGATAATATGTGTAATGTGTGATACTAGGATACTGTGTATAATGCAGGATAATATGTGATACTAGGATACTGTGTTTAATACGCGATACTAGGATACTGTGTATAATGCAGGATAATGTGTGTAATGTGTGATACTAGGATACTGTGTATAATGCAGGATAATATGTGATACTAGGATACTGTGTTTAATACGCGATACTAGGATACTGTGTATAATGCAGGATAATATGTGTAATGTGTGATACTAGGATACTGTGTATAATGCAGGATAATGTGTGATACTGGGATACTGTGTTTAATACGCGATACTAGGATACTGTGTATAATGCAGGATAATATGTGTAATGTGTGATACTAGGATACTGTGTATAATGCAGGATAATGTGTGATACTAGGATACTGTGTATAATGCAGGATAATATGTGTAATGTGTGATACTAGGATACTGTGTATAATGCAGGATAATGTGTGATACTAGGATACTGTGTATAATGCAGGATAATATGTTAATGTGTGATACTAGGATACTGTGTATAATGCAGGATAATGTGTGATACTAGGATACTGTGTATAATGCAGGATAATGTGTGATACTAGGATACTGTGTTTAATACGCAATACTAGGATACTGTGTATAATGCAGGATAATGTGTGTAATGTGTGATACTAGGATACTGTGTATAATGCAGGATACTGTGTGTAATGTGCAATACTAGGATACTGTGTATAATGCAGGATAATATGTGTAATGTGTGATACTAGGATACTGTGTATAATGCAGGATAATATGTGATACTAGGATACTGTGTATAATGCAGGATAATATGTGTAATGTGTGATACTAGGATACTGTGTATAATGCAGGATAATGTGTGATACTAGGATACTGTGTATAATGCAGGATAATATGTGTAATGTGTGATACTAGGATACTGTGTATAATGCAGGATAATGTGTGATACTAGGATACTGTGTTTAATACGCAATACTAGGATACTGTGTATAATGCAGGATAATGTGTGTAATGTGTGATACTAGGATACTGTGTATAATGCAGGATACTGTGTGTAATGTGCAATACTAGGATACTGTGTATAATGCAGGATAATATGTGTAATGTGTGATACTAGGATACTGTGTATAATGCAGGATAATATGTGATACTAGGATACTGTGTTTAATACGCGATACTAGGATACTGTGTATAATGCAGGATAATGTGTGATACTAGGATACTGTGTTTAATACGCGATACTAGGATACTGTGTATAATGCAGGATAATATGTGTAATGTGGGATACTAGGATACTGTGTATAATGCAGGATAATGTGTGATACTAGGATACTGTGTTTAATACGCGATACTAGGATACTGTGTATAATGCAGGATAATGTGTGATACTAGGATACTGTGTATAATGCAGGATAATGTGTATAATCTGTGATACTAGGATACTGTGTATAATGCAGGATAATATGTGTAATGTGTGATACTAGGATACTGTGTATAATGCAGGATAATGTGTGTAATGTGTGATACTAGGATACTGTGTATAATGCAGGATAATGTGTATAATCTGTGATACTAGTATGGAAACTGGAACCTTAGCTGACTTGGAGAATATTTACAGTTTGTCTAGTTTGACGTTAAAATTGATATCCACTTGAACTTGCTTTAAATTCTCAATTTAGTGAATAGTCTTGCACGTATAATGTAATATACTTGGCTCCTTGCTCTCTACAAGAAACATTTGATTGGGCAATGCCCAGCTCTACCAATAAAGTAAGTGCTGGGCAGACACATGTCGGTCTTCATTAGCTGCAGCTAATTAAAGGTACTGTGTCGCATATGTATGTGACTGTGTGTGTAATTGTTTATCTCCATGTGACTTTATTTATATATATATGTGTGTATGTGACTGCTTGTGTGACTGTGTGTCTTTTTAAATATGTGACTGTTTATGTGATTGTCTATCTAAATACCGTATGCAAGTGATTTTGCATGTGCAATTGTTTGTCTATATATGTGCATATGACTGTGTGTTTGTTTTTATATGTATGTGACAGCGTTTGTGTATGATTGTGTATCTCTATATGTGTGTGATTGTGTGTCTATATACTGTATGTATGTGACTGTGTCTGTGATTGTTTGTCTGTATAAGTATGTGTATATGTGTGATTGTTTTTCTATACATGTATGTTACTGTGTGTGATTATGTGTCTGTATACGTAGGTGACTGCGTGTGTGTAGGTGTGTGTTTATATATTTACGTTTCTGTGTGTGTATGATTGTGTTACAATATAGAAATTTGGATATAGCAAAGTATTTAAGAAAAAAAGATAACAAATAATAGTGCAACACTGTTGATAATAAAGAGGGCTGCCCCCACTAATTGTGGAACTCACAGACTCCAAATGTTTAAGGCGCCTTAAAGGACCACTATACGGACCCAGACCACTTCAGCTTAATGAAGTGGTCTGGGTGCCAGGTCCAGCTAGGGTTAACCCTTTTTTCTATAAACATAGCAGTTTCAGAGAAACTGCCATGTTTATGTTAGGGTTAATCCAGCCTCTAGCGGCTGTCTCTTGACAGCCGCTAGAGGCGCTTGCGTGCTTCTCACTGTGATTTTCACAGTGAGAAGACGCCAGCGTCCATAGGAAAGCATTGAGAATGCTTTCCTATGAGACTGGCTGAATGCGCGCGCGGCTCTTGCCGCGCATGCGCATTCAGCCGAAGAGGAGGAGAGGAGGAGGAGAGCTGATGTATGATTTTGTTTCTGTTTATGTGACTGTACCAATGGATAGATAGATAGATAGACAGACAGATAGATGCAATAATTCTAGAAGCTAAGCTGGTTTTGAATAGTGACTACATGGAATGCAATGTCTTGGAATGTACCAAAAATAAATCATGTGTCTAAATATGGTCTCTTTACTGAGAAAATAATTGAAAATGTCCAGTATGTTAGAAATATGTTAGGACACAAGTCTAAATACAAATAGCTCTCAATTCATTACACCTGCTGCATAAATCCACACACATATACATAAATTCATATATTATACAGATGTATATCACATCCATTGTACAGTGCAGCAGAATCTATTGCCCTCTTTGTATAATAATAAACACATCTGATGAATTGATTACAGCTCACACTGTCATTTCCATACATTCTTCCTGTTTCTCCATGTCTGCTCCCAAAATATGTATTTGTATCCATAAATTCTGTCCATGGGCTCCAGCAAACTCTATAATTGCTCCTGTTACACAAAAGTGCGAGTTAACTTTGGAAAATCATCCATATACGTAAAAATATTATCTAAACTCTTTCCTTGTTCTGTTTTTTTTTTTTTGTCTTCCACAGGATCTGTTTCTTTCTTTGAATGATCTCATGTTATGACTCAAGATAGCTGCTCCTTCCAGCCATGAACGTCTTAATTGTGCTTGATCTTATAATATCTAAATACTCTGAGTTACTAGGACATCACTGATACTCTTACATGAACAAGGACAGTGTGTAACAAACTGTGGCTTTGCCAATACATAGATCTTCCTTCAAGACAAAACCAATGTCATTATGAAACACTTGGAGAGAATTACAATTCTCTGGACTTGCTTTCAATTTGGAACTATTTTTATCCCATTCGTAACCAGCTATGGGTTTAGGAACTGTATACAAAGCTACGACAATTATGACAGTTACATTTGTGTTTATCGCCTCCTGCTGGACATACACACTGCTGTGTCTGATCTTCCAAACAACACTAAGTATCTAAATATATCACATAACAAAATTAAGACCTTAAATCAAGGAAGTTTTGCTCATATGCCCCTGATCCAGCAGTTACGTTTGGACTACAATAATTTAAAAATAATAGACTCTGGTGCATTTGATAATTTGACTTCCTTGGAAAAATTGGATCTTTCATACAACAAAATATCTAATCTACCTCAAGGTGTCTTTAGGGGTCTTGGAAATCTAACAAAGCTACTTCTTCATCACAATTCCATTGTCTCCATTCATGTTGAGGTATTTAAGCCACTTGAAAATCTAGTATTTATCAACCTGTCCTCTAATTATTTTGACAATTTCAATGGTATTGTTGGGTCTATTCAACCATTACAGAAACTTGAAACCCTTTTGATATGCAGTAACCACCTAACATCTCTGAATCACACCTATAAACTCCCTTTATCACTGTCTCGACTTTTTATTTGCAAAAACAACTTGCAAAATTTAGATTGCGAAACTGATTTGTTCCATAATGTACGACTCCTGGATCTCACATACAACAACATGACCTCGTCTTCATTGCAGTCTTTGAACTTAACCAAGATAACAAATTTGTACGTTGGATTCAACAAACATTTTGACATATTTGAATTTATGAGAAATTCTAACGTATCACGAGGTAGTATAAGTTATTCCGCACTTGACCTTTCTAATTTCAGTTTATTATCTAGAATGTGTACTTCTTTTTTAAAAGGCGTCAATATAACTACACTCACTCTAAGTGAAAATAAAATTAAGATTTTGAAAAAAGACACTCTTAAAAGCTGTACTGTCAAAACCAGTTTGGATTTATCTAGAAATAGGTTGAAAAGTGTTAACTGTTTAGATTTTATGGATATTTCTGAATTTAAGACTTTGATTATAGAGCACAATCTGCTAAAACAATTAAATAACTGTACAAACGGGAAAAAGTTTCCAAATTTGACATATATTTCCTTCCAATACAACAGAATCTGGTCAGTGAGCGAACATGCATTCAGGTTTGCACCCAATTTACAAGAACTACAATTAAACATCAACAACATTATCTTTTTCCAAAGAGAGTCTTTCAGTGGCCTTAAAAGTCTGCAATTATTGCGGCTGGATAATAACCTGATACCAGATTTATTTCCTGGCCTATTTGATAATCTAACAGAGCTTCAAACACTCAATCTTAGAAACAACAGACTATCGGTTATCTTTAATAATATATTTCATAGCCTGGAAAAACTCAAAATCTTGGATCTAGGAGGCAACAAAATAACACAGCTTGAAATTGATTGCTTTAACGGACTTAAAAGTCTATCCAAACTATATCTGGATGGAAATAAAATTCAGACCATCAGTAGTGAAATGTTTCATAGTGTAGAGACCACTTTACAAGTGTTGGACCTTATGTCTAATCACCTTAGTTTTGAAATATCAAGGAAGCCCTTTTCACCATTTACTTATCTTTCCAAACTCTATGACTTAAAACTCCAGAATCAGCAACCATATGGCCTTACAACCATACCTCAAGGTTTTTTTAAAGGTCTAAGTTCCCTGAAGTCACTTTATTTGGCCCAAAATAGGCTTACATATCTACATGCCGATGTATTTGATGAACTCGGGCAGCTGCATTTCCTGGGTTTAGCTGATGATTGTAATGGAGTACAACACCTCCCAAATGGAATTTTTAAGAATCTAACTAATCTACATGTTTTGAGTTTGGAGAATATATGTCTACAGACCTTAAATCCTCATGTATTTTCAAATCTTACAAGACTTAAAAAACTTCAGTTGACAAAAAATGCTTTGAAGTATATAAACATTGATGTCTTGAAGAACATGACTAACTTAAAATATCTTGACATTCGCAAATGCCCAATTACCTGCACATGTAAGAATGAATTTTTAAAACAATGGCTTAACCAATCTCAAGTGCAAGTTGTGTTTCCCTATAACATGTCATGTCCTGGTAATCCGACTTCATTCTTCCATGACTTTGATACCAATATCTGTGACTTGGCACTCAGAGTTAATCTTTTTTGTGGATCCTTATCCTTTGTTTTTCTCTTTATAATTGTTCCTATTGTCTATAGCAAATTATATTGGTGCATCAAATACAATTACTTTCTCTTTATTGCCTGGCTGCACGAACGCTGGAAATCAGACAAGGAGATGTACAAATATGACGCATTTGTTTCCTACAACACCCATGATGAAGAATGGGTCTACAAAACAATGCTTCCAACTTTAGAGTCCTGCAGTCCTTCTCCGGCCCTCCGACTTTGTCTTCATCACAGAGATTTTCAGTTGGGGAGGGACATCATAGACAATATCGTGGACAGTATTCACAATAGCCGTAAGACTGTCTGTGTGGTCAGTAGGAGCTACCTCCGCAGTGAGTGGTGCTCTCTAGAAATGCAACTGGCTAGCTACAAGCTGTTCAGTGAGATGAAGGATGTTCTTGTCCTAATATTGTTGGAAGACATTCCAGATAGAGAACTTTCCACCTATCACAGAATGAGGAAAGTCATGCTGAAGAAGACCTATATAAATTGGCCTTCAGAACCAGAAGCACAGAAGCTCTTTTGGGCTAAGCTCATAAAGGCATTGAGAGGCATAGATTCCCCTGAAGTGAGTACACATTTCAGCTGCAATGCGGAGGAGGAACATTTACTAAGTATTAACTAAGCTGTTTCTCATTTAATGTGAATATCTTTATGGAGAAGAAGCATGTATTGTGCTTTATGCTTTACAATGAAGTACATCATTTTTCTCTTGTATCCCACATTATTGTGGCCCCTTGCAATGTAGAGTCTCCTTTTTCACCTATAATTATTAAGACTTGTACTGGTGTTCTTTCCCTGGTTTGATTTGTTATGGATTTGTTTATGAATAAATTACTCAAATTATATATAGTGTGTTGCTTTCTGCATCCTTTTATTGATCTGTCGTGGTTGTGTTTCATCTTACACTGTCACTAAGTCACTGAAATATGTTACACACATAAACTATGGTGTATTGAGTCTTAAGGTACTGAGGCATCCCGGTGATGTGAACCCTATAATTTCAGAGTTCATTTCCAACCTTGGCCTTGATTTCATTGTTTTGAATCATAATCAGAAATGATTCCATTCAGTTGAAAAAATACAAAACAACTTTTTAAAATGATTTATCTACAAGAATCACCATTAAAGTCTATGGGAATGTTTGGTAGATAAACAAATTTTAAAAGGTTTTTCCTAACAGAATTAAATCGAGGCCTTTGTCATTAAATAGCAATTGCAAGCTGTTGTTTTTAAAGGTACACTATAGCATAAGCTGTCGCTATCAAAGGAACACTAGAGTCCTAGTCACCTGCAGCCCGGTCTCTGACATACCGCTCCACCACTGTGGCTTAAATCACTGAGAATCGATTGTCTCAGCTAATCCAATGCTTTTTCTACTCCACTATTTTGGCAGAAGTGCCTCTAGTGGCTTTCAGTAAGCAGTTTCCATTTCCCACTGCTCTCTGTTCACATCTCTCAGGCCACACCCACTGCGCCCATGTAGTAGCTCTAAGGGTAAGAAACCAGATTGCTGCAGTACTCCCCTGTAAGCACACAAAAGACGAGACAGAGAACACTCCCAGGGTACCTGCTCTGTGTCCACACTCCTTATCTCTTTTATTTTGTGGTTTGTCTGCTGGGCTCGTCGCACTATCTGACTCTGAACGTTTAATTAAGAATCAGAGAGTGACTTAGCAACAGACTCCTGCTGCTGAGCTAGCTCGGGTGTATACGTGAGGTGTGATTGTGATAAGCTGACAAGGATCCTGGTTCCCCAAGCAGTATGCTCCCTTGCGGACTTCCTCCTTGGACCCACAAGCTGAGTCTGTCCCTGCCCTTCACTTTGGGCAGACTGTGGATGGGTCCCCATTTCTACTGATGGAACCTCTGTCGCTCCCTCACTTTCACTCCATATCCTCACACAGGGCCGCCACCAGAAATTTTGGGGCCCCTAACTCAGCTCAAGGTCTGGGCCCTGCCTCCAAATACCGCCCACTGGGTCTGCCTCCAAATACCGTCAACAGGAATACACACACACACACTGATACAAAAAGACAGAGATACATACTAACAGACACACATACTGAAACAGACATACACGCATACAGGCATACATACTGAGACATACACACAGGCATACATAGTGACAGACAGATACATACTAACATACATACAGACACACATGCATGAGGACATAAAGACACATACATACATACAGACACCGACATACATACATACATACACACACACAGACACTGTCATCCATACACACATACATTCATAATGGCATACAGACATAAACAGACATACATTCATAATGGCATACAGACATCCATACATACATTCAGACTGACATACATGCATATATACAGACAGACATACTGACAGACATACATGCATACAGACATCCATACACACAGACATACGTTCATAATGATATGCAAGCATACATTCATACTGACATACAGACATACATATATAATGACATACAGACATACATATATACATACATAGACATACATACAGACAGACAGACATGCATACAGACATACATACAGATACATACATACAGACAGACATACATAGACATACATGCATGCATACAGACAGACAGACAAACATAGACATACACACAGACATAAATACAGACACACACAGACATGCATGCATACAGACAGACATACATACATACATAGACATACATACATAGACATACATGCATACAGACAGATATACATACAGAGACAGACATACATACACAGACAGACATACATACATACATAGACATACATGCATGCCTACAGACAGACATACAGACATATACATACATACATACAGGCAGACATACATATTGACATACATACATAGACATACATACATACACAGACAGACATACAGACATACATGCATACAGACAGACATAGACATACATGCATACAGACAGACAGAGAGACATGCATACAGACAGACATACACATACATACACACAGACAGACATACATACAGAGACAGACATACATACACAGACAGACGTACATACATAGACATACACACAGACATACATACAGACACACACAGACATGCATGCATACAGACAGACATACATACATACATACATACATAGACATACATGCATACAGACAGACATACATACAGAGAAAGACATACATACACAGACAAACATACATACATAGACATACATGCATGCATACATACATACATACATACACAGACAGACATACAGACATAGATGCATACAGACAGACAGACAGACATAGACATACATACATACAGACATACAGACAGACATACATACATACATGCATACAGACAGACATACATACAGAGACAGACATACATACATACACAGACAGACGTACATACACAGACACATACATACATACAGACACACACAGACATGCATGCATACAGACAGACATACATACATAGACATACATACATACATACATACATAGACATACATACAGAGACAGACATACATACACAGACAGACATACATACATAGACATACATGCATGCATACACAGACAGACATACATGCATACAGACAGACATAGACATACATGCATACAGACATACAGACAGACATACATACAGACAGACAGACATACATACATAGACATACATGCATGCAGACAGACAGACATACACATACTGGATCACAAGGCTTGTTTTTCTCTTTTTTTGAAAGCTAATGATCATTAACATATCAAAGACATCCACTCATCAATCAAAAGGTATATGCCATATGGCTGTTGTCAGCCTTACATTGGAGCTAAACTTCCAGGCCACTTATGTGTGACTTCTCTCACCTTACAGAGCTTTTGATTAATCAAAGGATCAATGCATTTTACCATCTGATCCCTTTCACATTCATATGCAATTCACACTACCCCTTCTGTCATCTGATATTTACCAAGTGGTCAATTCATATATGCACTACACAAATTACATTAATATCCTATTGTGTAACAATGAATTATGCACCCTTGGCGTGACATTTAGTATTAGCTGGTATTTACCAACGTGTTTCCAGTCTTGTGAATATTTTTACCGGCTTCTGGCCAATAACGTCTGCTTGCAAAAATTCCGACCAGGCGGAGATTAGCCACTCGGTAAAGCACAGAAACATGCACTGTGTAATTTGTCTACTGATACTGTACTTTGTCAGTAAAAAAGATTTTAGAAGAAGATAGCGACAATGTTTGCAGCGTATTAAACTGAGATTTAATGGTATGCAAGATACATGTCTATGGAACACAACCAATTTAAAAAAAATATTTTACATCAAGTATCTGGCCTTTTCTTTAACTTTACTACAGTTTAGTATGGTTTAATATGCTCTGGTACGTGCTTTATGGTTTCGGTTTAATGCTATATAAAAAATATGTATTTTCCTGTAGGATGTATACGAAAATAGCTATTGTTAACTTCTTCGCATCAGACAAAAGGCGAGTCTTTTTGACATTTACAGCAGTGATTAAATAGTAGTAGTGGTTAACAGTCTAAGTAAAGAATAATGGGAGCCAGTAGAGTCTACTTGGAGACCTGCTTTAAGAAGCGGCAGCTAGTAACTCCCCGTCACTTTGTGTGAAATTCTGTATTTAATAAGCAACCACGATTCGCTAGCAGCAGTGACAGGCACTTTAGTCATTATCAGTAGCAATACGATTGCCATTGCACCCTCTTAAAGATCTGAAAATTGGACACTTTAACCCCTTAAGGACACATGACATGTGTGACATGTCATGATTCCCTTTTATTCCAGAAGTTTGGTCCTTAAGGGGTTAAACCGAACGGACAGCAGGGCCCAACAACAGGATTGTCACGGCTGGGCGCTACCCTGCCCCTGAGAGGCATAGGTTGACTTCAGTAATGTAGCCCCATGTAGCCAAGCGCAGCTAAGCGGAAAAAGGCCTTGACAGGGGTTAGGAGGCGGGCCTAGGAGGAAGTAAGCAAGGGAGTGGAGTTATGGGTAAGTGGGTTTGGTTATTTAAATGGGCAGCCATTTTAGTTAATTCATTTTAACTTCCTACCTGGTTAAGTTTGTGTTCGCTCCTGTGGGCACAGATTTGGCTTGGTAGGGTTTTTTCCTTTTTGTCTCCCTGCAGGGCCGATGGAGGAAGTGGAGCGACTGCTGGAGCGGATCCGGTCGGCGGCGAGGCACCAGGGGGCTGACTGGCTGAAGGCCCAGTTAGGCCCGGCCCTGGCGGCGGCGGAGGGCCAGGACGGCGGCGGACGACGGCCTGTTCGGGCCAGGAGGCCTCCGGAGCGGCTAAGCCCGGGTGTGGGACCCGGTGAAGACATCCCTGGTGGTCCGGGAGGCTCCGGTGCGGGCGGCAGCAGGCCCGGCAGCCGCGTGGTAGAGGCCCCGCCTCCCCGCGAGCGGCCGGAGCCTAGGACCAGTGCCCGGCGCCGGGGGGACGGTCGGGACGGGGCCGTCGCGGCTGCCGGGTCGGACGTGGCCGGGCGGTCCCCTGGAGGAGCGGGCAGCATGGAGCTGCGGCCCGGGAGGGCGCACGCCCCGTCGGAGGCGGAGATCGGCGGGGCCGGGACCGGGAGGACACGTGGCCGGTTCCCGGCCCCAAAGGCAAGTGCAGGGGGCTCCGGCCGGGGCCCCCTTGGCGGGAAAAGTGCTGGGGGGGTCCTGTCAGGGGGCGGAGGGCGGAGGGCCCAAGTGGGGGGTGGGAAGGCCTCCCAGGGACCGCGGGTGGTGGATGGGGAGGGCATAGGGGTCATAGGTGGGGGGAGTAGTGGTAGGGGTGGGGGGGCTGTGGGTGAGGAGGGACTGCTGGGCTCCCCCAGTAGGGGAAAGGGGGCCTCCTTGGGCTCTGGGG